GCCGCTTGCCGGCCCTCGCACGTCGGCCACCGAGCCGGTGACCGACATACACCCACCGCCGACCTCGATCGTGGCCGTAGGAGGACCGACCACCCTTGAATGACCGAAAAAAAAACTCCCCGTTGTCCTCCTCTCTCACTCTTTCTCCTCTCTATTCGGCGGCCGAGAGGGCTCAAAAACGAGCCCCAACGACGACCACCACCTTGGCCACTCAACGACAAAGACCCGAACTCCGACCAACGTCCGAACCGGCCGAAGCAAACCACCCAAGGGTCTAAGTGACCCAAACTATTCTCGTTTCTCATTTCTTTCGATCAAGGCCCGACCAAGGACCCTCCCTACGCTCACCTACGGCCACCAACAGCCGGAACTCCCTCGTCGGCCGCCGATCAACGGTAGCCACTCTCCCTGCAACTCATGAACCCCTGAAACCGAAGCAAAAACCAAGTGAGAAAGCCCAAAAAAGAAAGGAAAAGGAAAAGCAATATTGGAGAGAAAAAAGAGTCAAAGCAAACTGTCTTTCATTCCTCCCTTTTAGGGGACAAAGGTTGAGTCCTTTTACAAGTGGTGGTTGGGGTATTAATAACCTCAACAACTACATTTTAATATTTTTTTTTTACACATAATAAAATAAAAATGAAAAAAATGGTGTTTACAGTAGCGGAAAGAGAAAAAGAATGCCTCATATTTTATTCCAATAGAATTCCAATTACAAAGAGTTACAATACATTTAAACTTCAAAGGATAACACTAATCACGAAAAACTACATTACTCAACCTAAATAGATACCCAAAGATATCCAAAACTCCTATTTGACCGACCCTCCTACCCAATCTCCTGCTTTACTAACTCATCCGCTTTAGTGTTAACACTTCTTCTGACATGGCGTAGCACCATTGTCCGTGCTCTAATAACAACTTCAATCTATCTCACCAGATTCAAGAAAGAGCCAGGGCTTAAGAGAGGATCCTTCACCTAATCCAAAGTAGTCTTGTAATCACACTCTACAATCAGCCTGTTTTTCTTGCTAATTTCCAAATCAAAAAACATTTCAATTCCTTGTTTAATGGCTAATAATTTTGCATGCACTGGAGGGCCTTGTCCAACTGCTTTAGAAAACGAAGCTAAACAGTTACCTCCCTGATCGCGTATAAGACCCCCAATTCCTCCACCACTCAATGAGCCATTCATGGCTCCATCAACATTCACCTTTATGAACCCAGGTGGAGGTGGGGACCAAAATTCTTGATCCGAACCAGAAGGAGAGGGGCTTGAAAAACCATCAGCCAAAGAAAGATCACTAACTAGGTTGTCAAAAGGGATGAAGGGCGAAGGGAAACGAACCTTGAACCAGGAGACTATTTGGAATTTCAATAGAAAGAAGATCTGCACAATATCCAGAGAGTCATTGTTAAAGGCGATGTCATTTCGAAATTTCCATGAAGTCCACAAGACATAAAACGACACAAACTTCCAAATCGAACTTGAAGATAGAGCATGTGCAGTATTATGCCATGAGGCTAAAAAAAGGGATATCACCTGGAAAAATAGTAAAAATGTTCGAGTAGCTAAGAATGCGAAACCAAACATCCCTTGCCACCTTACACCCTAGGAAGAGATGATAAACCATTTCAGGTTCGGCCTTACATAAAGGACATAAGGAATCTGTTACTGCCTTCACACCTCGCTTCAACAATTATGTTTTAAGCGCAATCTTCCCATTGACTACTTGTCAAACAAAAATATCTACCCTTTGTGGAGCTAACCCCATCCAGATAAACCTCCATTCGAAGTGGTTTTTCTTTGATTTGGATACGGTGGCTCCAAAAGATTTCCTGAGTACACCCCTTCCCGTTTCCAGTCCAAGTTAGCCAGTCAAACGCTAAATCACTTGGTCTAAAACCACTTAACAATAAGAGGAGTTATTCTCATTGTACTAATTCCCAATCCTAAAGCCTCCTACGAAAAAGAATATTTCAATCCCAACCACACCATTTTTAGTTCCAAATTCGAATATTCTACCATTTTTATTTTAGGACAGAGTATATATCCTCGGAAAATTTTCTTTCAGCGGGGAATCTACCAGTCAAATGGCCCACTAAAACGGGATTGTCTCGTCGTTCCCAACTTGGACTTAAAATTTATTTCTAAGACACCAACTGATCTTATCTTCCTTCCTTATAAACGATTTCAGAACATCCCTCCATAGCCAATATGCCTGAGAAAACTGTGGTTTTTTGGGTAAAATAAACCCTCTATCCAAATTATATTTAGAACATATTAGTCCCTTCCGCAGGCTGTCGCCTCCACTTGCGAACTTCCAGACCCATTGGCCTAATAGTGCACGGTTAAGGAGATCAAAATCCAGAATCCCTAGCCCACACTCATCCTTTGGAAGGCTTACCGAGGACCAATTCACTCAGTGAATGCTTCTTCTCTCATCAGACCCCTTCCATAAGAAATTTGCCATCAAAGAATTTAATTTCTTATAAACTGCTACTGGCATCCTAAACGAGAGAAAGTATATGGGCAAAGAATTTAAAATTGACTTAATAAGAACCAATCACCCAGCAATAGATAACATGTTTGATTTCCAGCTAGAGAGCCTATAATGAAACTTTTGGATAATAGGTTCCCAAAGTGAATAAGAATTTTTCTTTGTGCTTAGCGGGAGGCCAATGTATTCTGCTGGAAAAGTACCTGCTGAGCTTCCAATTGAAGTTGCCCATACTTCCAGAACAAATTCTTCTATGTTAAACAGTTTGCTTTTGCCTAAATTCAGCTGCAAAACGGAGGCTATTTCAAAGACACGAAGGATCCTTTTTATGTTTCTGATTTGCCCTAAAGAAACATTGCAAAAGATGATCAAATCATCAGCAAATTGAAGGTGCTAAAGCATTACAGAATCATCTTTTTTTACCAATTAGGAAACCACTAAACAGCCCCACTTTACCTTCCTCAGCATCAGATTTAGTAACTCTCCAACAATGTTGAATAACAACGGCGATAAAGAACATTCTTGTCTGGGCCCTTTGGCCATAGAAAAGTTTTCTGTAGGAACACCATTTATAAGAACGTACAGCGTGGCAGAAGAAAAGAATTTTGAAATCCAAGATACCCATCCATCCCCAAACTCCATCTCCTTCATTATTCTCAGCAAAAGGTGCCAATCGACAGTGTCATAGTCATAGGCCTTCTTCTTTTTTTTTTTTGTTGATAAATTTAGGAGATCTCATTAAAAACTACTTCATAACCATCAAGCTACGAAGATAGCTCGACAAGAAAAAGAGTACCTGTAAAATTTTATTCCTGTAAAATCAAGTACATCCAAAGTTCATTACACCCATACATAACTAAAATACAACCTCAAAAATAACTCACTCTAAACTACCTGCTCATCTAAGACCTATTCCCTATTTGGAATTAATTTTCCACCTTGTATAACTACGTAAACTACACATACCAAAACAGTAAAAAAAAACTACACATAATTACTCAATACCCGACTTTGCAAGCTCATCAGCCTTCTAATTACAACATCTTTGAGTGTGTCTTAGGATCACATTTTTATTTGCCACCACTGTGCAAATTTCCTTAACCAAAGATTCGAACAAGGTTGGGCAAGAACCAGGATTTTTAATCCACTCCAATGCTTTCAAACAATGTGTTTCCAGAATCAATCTTCCTTTAGATCCCAATCCCTCCCAAAGAAAAAGTTTAATCCTGGTTTAACTGCCATCAATTCAACCAATATAGGAGGATTAGGTCCCACCTTATCTGAGAAAGAACTCAACATCTTACCATTCGAATTATGAATAAGACAACCAATACCCCCTCTAAGCCATTCCTTTTTCCACTGCCCCATCAACATTAATCTTTAGAAAATCTGAGGGAGGTGGGGACCAAGTAGGTGAGAGGGAAATCACCCACTTAACTTTCCACTGAATATCCGCCAAGGATGAATTGCTCACTAAGCTATCAAACTGCTTCTTCGCATCAGGAAATTTCGTCGCAAACCAAGAAATCAATCTAAATCTGATTAGAAATTCCAATTGCATTGAATTGAAACAACCTTCCTTGAAAACTATTTCATTTAGGACTTCTTAAAGTCTATTTTGAAAACTACACCCTTCAATCCTCTTCTACTCAAATCATCTATCCCTTCGTTTGCAATAAATGAAATGAAAGAAATGAAAAGTCCAATATTTGCCTCCCCGAAATAAAAGCAAATTGTGAATTGCTAATGACCGAATCAATGCAAGCTTTGAGATACCTGGATAGAACTTTCGATAGGATCTTATACAATCCCCCCACCAGACTGAGTCGGTAATCCTCTAACGACTTCAGATTAATCTTCTTCGATATTAGAGTTACAAAGGAGTGGTTTACTCCACTCTCCGAACTTTTTTTTTATAAGTCTTTTTTTTTATAGAAGTAGGAGGCCTCATTAAAAACTTCCCTCATAGTAATCCTATTCTCTAAGGAAAGAACCGACTAGCGGAAGGAGAAAAAGAATACCTCAATATATTATTGAATAAAACATATTACATAAGACTTAAATAAACAGCTGAACAATTGTTCCTTACAAATACATAAAACAGAAAAATAATAAATCTTACAATCACCCAATCCCCTCCTTTGCTAACTTATCTGCCTCACAATTACAACCCCTAGGTATCAATCTAAGAATACATTCCTTTATAAAAGTCTTTGAAAAACTTCATTATGTCCACCTTCAAATCCGGCCAAAACCTTTTAAAGAAACTCATATTAAATCCGTCCGACCCTGGAGCTTTGTTGATGTCCGAAGAAGCTATCGCTTCCCGGTTTTGATGTACTAAAACTTTTGTAATTGGAATTTCTGTTGGAATAAAATCTGATGTACTCTTTTCCTCCTCCCGCTACCTATCGGTTTACTTTGCAATATACCGAGAAGTATGAGGGGGGTTTTAACGAGACCTCAAATTCTTATAAAAAAAATGAAATGTTACATATCTCATGGAACTCCAACATCACTGGATAATTGCAAAAACAGAAAATTCGCCAGGTTCTCATCCGTAAACCTGAAATGGAAATAACTTGGATAAGTTACTAGAATATGAGTAAGCATAAAAAATTTGAAGTTAAAAAAAATGAAAGAATATGACACATACAAATTAAAATTTTGAAGAGGGGATAAGATACAAAATGTGGGAGAGAGAAGAGAGCAAGATGGTAGCCAACTAGATAGATAAGAACCACATTTATATTTACTTAAGTCGACAGCTAAAATTTACAAGGACTGATTACTACCAAGAAAGACCAGAAAGCAGTCATGTAGGTTCTGGATAGATGATATTATCAGTAACACTAAACAAAATTGCTTCGAACCAAGCATGGGAAGGCACAAGAAGTTATAAAATATGACAACATGAAATACCAGACTCGGATGCCAGAATTGTAACCACAGGAAATGTAATTTAAATTGCGTGTTATAGTTGAAAATTCCAGATCAGAAAAACTGATGGTATTACATCCTTAAAGACAGCAAAATGATATATTCTCTTTCAAAATAGAATGAAAAATGCCTAGCAAAAGGAAACAACTTTCATGCCAAAGAAGTATAAGTTGCAATCCAGGGAGAGAATTAGTCTTAACATAAAAATAGAAGACAGATCTGCCAATACTAAAAGAACATATCTAATATAAATCTACATAAGCTAAACTTAAGAAAGGCAGATCTGCCAATACTAAAAGAAAATATCTAATATTTGACAAAATCTAGATATGCTAAACTTAGGAAAGGCATATTATTAGCTTAGGTAAATCATCTGATGGCACAATCTTACAAAAGGTCTTAAGGCTAGTTCCTGAACTGGGAGCGACAATTTGCTGTTTCTCTGTAGTCTTACAAAAGGTCTTAAGACTAGTTTACAGAACAAATGGAGAAGATACAGCAAATCTTCCAATCACATATTTGCAGGAAAAAGTTGCTAGAGTATTCCTCTATTATCTTATAATCAGTGAAACTGAAAGATTAGACAAAAAACTAAGCTCCAAATCAGAGAAAAAATTAAGTACTTCTACCTGATAAAGAAAAGAAAAGAAAAGAACCATATGGAAACTATTATATGAAGACCGAAAACATAATCCTACTCAAGCTGGCTAGAAGTAGCACCAGAGGCATGACTGGAAAACATTATTTAACTCCCCTCAAGTTACAAAAACTTTAGAGAACCTAAATAAACTGGATCAGTGGCATAGAGAGAAGGAAAACATCAAAACAGATTCAATATTATCAAGAAATAGAATAGAAAAATTTATTTGATAAGCTTCAAATCTGTTTTTCATTTTTTCCCAATTCCTTTTTTCTGCATTAAGGCAGACATCATCTTAAGTTTACAGGAAAAATAGGCTAAGCACCTATGGTAAAAGGTAATGATGATTGCTCTGAATAAAACAGTTGGATAGAAACTAGAACCCCTAGCCTGTTTGCATAGTTCATCATGAAACCTTTTAAGTGACTCTAAGAGAACTTAATGGAGTAAAAATGCATGAACATAGCAAGATTGCTGAACTACAGGGTAAAACAAATGTAGAGCAACTCCCAAACTAACACAAAAGGTCAGCATAGGTGTAACAGAAACCCTGAATGAAACAGACCCTTGAAAAAACAGAACAAAGACAATCTACAAAGGCTGGCAAAATTAAATCAATATGTTGCTTAACTGTGCCATAGAAAGGACAGTAGGGACAAATAGACCTTTGAGAAAAAAAAAAAGACAATCCAGAAATGCTGACTAAATTAGATCAAGGTGTTTCTAAATTATGCCAGAGACAGGACAGTAGGGGTTGTCTGCAAATAAAAAGCAGTACAGTTGAACAACCCCACATTTCAAAAGAGAGAGGAAGGGGAAGAAGCAGTAGCAAAATTGATAGGCTTCAACCGCCGGAATTTTAATGATTCCTATTCTTCAAAACCAAACATCTAGCTTCAAAAAGGCATGGCCAGTTGCCACCAAAAGTTGAATCCTTTATGTGGCAGGTTGTTCTAGGGAGATTGGCTGTTAAAACTGAACTGGTGAAAAGAGGGGTTTCAGGAATTCAAAACCTGTTGTGTCCTCTTTGTATGGTGGAGGAAGAGTCTCCAACGCATTTGTTTTTCTCTTGTGCGGTGGTGTGGTCTGTTTGGAACAAATTTCTTAACTTTTGGAGAATTAAGACTGTCTTCCATTCTAATGCAAAATCTTTTCTCCTGGCTTGGGATGCTTTGAGGACTAATTCAAAGATTTGGTATCTCATTCCAGGGGTGGTTATGTGGACTACATGGAAATTGAGGAACTTAATTGTTTTTGAAGGAGGGAAGTTGGATGAGGTTGAGTTCTTCTTCTTAGCAAGATTTAGGCTTGCTTCATGGTTTTTAGCAAAAAATAAAGGGGTGTGTATTCCAAAAGACTCTCTTATTTCAGACCCCTCCTTAGGGGACTGTTGTTACTTTCAACCTAATAGGATTAAGTCTATTATTCCTTGGCATCCCCCTCCTAAGGGTTTTGTGAAAATTAATGTTGACGCAGCTACGACTAAGGATTGGAAGAAGAGCGGGTTAGGAGGAGTTTTAAAAGATTCTTCTGGACATACCTTAGGGTCTTTCAAGGAGCTTGCTGGTCCGGGGCCTCCGACTTATATGGAGTTAAAAGCTATTCATAAAGGGCTAATATTCTTTGCGAATTTTCGAGATAGACTTCAGGACCGGTTGATTGTTGAAAGTGACAGCAAAATCGCAGTGGACTGGATTAAGGGGGTTGTTTTTTGTCCTGATGTTTATGCAATATTGGTTAGAGACATTGTTCACAGGCTTATAGAGTTCGGAGGGCTGGTTAGATGGGTTAGCAGGACAGCCAACATAGAAGCCGATGCCTTAGCTAAAGAAGGAATTGGTTGATTCTATATTTATAGTTAGGTTGTTTAATGGTTGTTTCGAGTTTTTGGTTGGTGGGGTGTATAATGGTTGTATCTTATGTAAATTTATGGTTCAATAAAATCCTAAGGCACTCTTTTCCTCCTTCCGCTGATTAAGGAGTTCTATAAGCTCCATTAATCAAGAAGGGGGTTTTTAACGAGGCCTGAAATTCTTATCAAAAAAAAAAATTCGTGAAATTATCTATGAAGAGCAAAGTGTGAAATTGAAATATTTTTATCATAAATGGACTGACAGAATATTTGCACTAGATAATATCAAGCAGAAAACAGCATATGGCAATTTCAAGCTAATATAAATTGTCAATTTTTTTGGGTACAATTCCAGGATGCCTACCATGATATAACACTTCAAACCCAAGCCTAGAGAACTAAGTTTCCCAGAAATACTAGATGAATCATCTTAGCATGATTGTAAAAATCACATTAGCGATGTCCTTGAGCTCTCTGCATGTCATATGCACCCCAGGCACCAGCAGCAGGTCCATACTGAGGATAACCATCGACACCACCCTGTATCTCAAATACAAGGAAGAAAAAAGCAAAATAACCAATCATTCTTTTAACACGATAATCAATAAATATACAACTTGCAAATGCAGCTCCCATACAAGTCCATAAAAATTTAAACTCGCACATATTCAAAACAGGTATTGAAGCTATTATTGTGAGATGGATTCCTAGATGCTGTAATTGCGAGACTGATAAGCTAGCAAAGGAGGGAATTGGGTGATTGTAAGCTTTGTTCTAGTTGTTTTGTATGTTTTAGAATACTGGTGTAATAGGAATGTCTTTAAGTCTTATGTAACTGGTTTATCATTAATATAATGAGGTACTCTTTTCCTCCTTCCGCTAGTAGGTACTTGCCTTACGGGTAAAGGACTACTATGAGGGAGGTTTTAAATGAGACCTCCTATTTCTATAAAAAACAACAACATTCAAAACAGTCAAACAAATATATAAAACAGCATAACTTACAGGATTAAAGCCATAGGTGACAGGATAAGTGTTTCCAGTACATCCAGCTTCAGGGTTCCCATAATTTGAATTATAACCAGCACCAGCTACTACTGAAAGAATTGGAAAAAGTATTGTTATTAACTTAAATAGACAGAAAAAAAAGCTCCTTATCATTATATTTACATCAAGCCTCCAGAGCTTAAGGATCATCACTACTCAAATAATATTGACTCACTAGGTGTACTAATCAGACAATTAACTAGATCCCATGTTAAATAAGCTTCCGCCAAAAGAAAGTAGCATTAAAAAGATAAAAATGCAGATTGAATGAGTAAATTTACTCAAACTTCTGACAACTGATTTGTGCACTTTCTATGTTCTTTCAACGTTGAAAACACAAAATAGCCTCAAGCCAGATTGAAAGCCAACCAAAAAAAAATGTCAAACCCATATTCCCATATGTAATGGGGTATGGGGGAGGTAGGTAGTAGGCTGCCCCCAACGCCTGGTTGAGAGCAGCTTCCGTGGAAGACCTCCGGCAGTTAGAATAATGAATTGCCCACGGTGGGGCTCGATCCCACGACTACAAGGTTAAGAGTCTTGCACTCTACCAACTGAGCTACACATGCAATTCATTGAAAGGCAACCAAACCTCTAATTAAAAAACTGGTAACTAAAGCTCATCTCGTAAAAACTGAAAACTGGAAGGAGAAGCACGTGAAACTGATAAACAGGAAGCAAAAGACACGGAGATAAAGTCCTTTATGCTGGAAAAAACAAACTGAGACAATTATCTCATTAAAGGCCTACATACCAGGATTACCACCACTACCAGCAGCAGCATGATTTCTCTTCCCTGCATTTGCAATCTCTGCATGAAGTTTTTCCAACTCCCGAGCCATTGAGATCAATTTTTTCTCCATTACTTGACCATGTTCATAATTCTCAGCATATCCTTTCTTCTCGTACTCGATGGCAGCTCTACATGTCCAGAAAGACACACGTAAACCAGTAAATTGAACTCCTCAAAACAAATTCAAAGGAACATAAATGATTCAAACACAAACATCTACTCCATTCATGCAACTATTTTTCATTCTAGGAGGGAGTCTCCAGTAAAAAGAAAATAGAAGAAACAAAAACAGAGAGTAAACTGTGACCTTGCACGATGCAGTTCCTGTTTCACATTTTCAATCTCTGCCTTCAACGCAGGAGCCTGTTGCAATTCTCCAGTAAATCTAGCCAAATCTTGACTCATGACTTGAGCCTGACCTGTAAGATCCTGCCTCACAGCATTAAGCTGCTTAATGTCAGCATTAACCTTGCCAAGCTCAGCTCGCATGGCCTCCACCCCACGAAGATCAACCTCCAATCGAACTGACTTATCATACATCTCCTTCATCTGAACATCCTTCTCCGCCCTCAAAGAATCTGCATATTGAGCCATGCGATGTAACTCATGCTGAGCAACCTCCAATTCTTGCTTTAATGCAACATGAGTCGCAGCCAGCCTCTGGTTATCTGCTAGGAGGCCTTGAATCTCTTGCAATTGAGCTGCAAGACGCTCCTCAAAGATGGCAGGGTGAGGAGGGAGGCCTCTAGGACCCAACCCAAATTGGTTTTCTCGCAATTCATCAAGTAAGGCAGGGTGTGGGGGGATTGGTCCTAGCCCTCTTGCATATGGAGGTTCATGTACTGGAGGCCGTAGTCCGGGATGAGGAGGACCTTTCATTGGAAGAGGAGGTGGTCCACGATTTCTTCCAGACATAACTAAATTAACTCTCCTTCTTTAGATCAATGTAAGAGAGTTCTGAAGAGAATTATGTAATTTATATCAAATAATGAATAAAAGTTTGAAACTTAACAAATAAATTAATGAAACTAGAAAGCAGGCAAATTTCCAATGTTAAAGTAAACTGCAACTGATCTAGAACCTGAACGGCTGAACCTAAAGGGGCTGGGTCGTTACCTCGAAAATTGAAGATAAAAAATTCTACATATATGGATGACAATTAAAATTTGCAGTATAAAACGTAAGTATAACTATTTGCCTATATGGGGTCGAAGAAAAAAAATCAGCAAAAAGCAAGCGAATCACTTTCTCGGGTACCAAACGTAGACATATTCATTTGCATAAAATTTAATTTAACAAATAGATAACAGAAAAGGTAAACAATACGATAATTTCTTACCTTTGGATTTCCAGTAAGTCTCGACGAATTGATTTGAGAGGAAAAGACCGGGGGGGGGGGGACGTTCTAAAGGAACTGTTTTTTATTTTCGGTGGAAACCCTAATACTTGGATTAACAAAATCAAATTGATTAAGTTATTTAATAAATTGTTTAACTACATGCCTTGATTTTCATTAAAGAAAGAAACTATTGCTTTAAACCATGGGAAACGGTAATTATATTTTTCTAAATAACCAATGGAACATTTTTTTTGCTTGATTTAACAGTAATTAGATATCTAAGGATTGTAGGTGCATTCCTTCCAAGACACAAGGAGTAGATTTATAGAAAACAATATACATCATTCTCCATTTCATATGATCACGCAACACGAATCAAATTACTTCAATGGTTAAAGGAATAGTTGTTATTCCTAAGAGTTCTGGGTTCAAGCACCAGCAATTGCAACATAGGGTGATTGAACGTTCATTATCACATGATTGAGAGTATTTAAAACATATATTACTTTATAATCACCTTAACTTAATAGAAAAATGATCCACCACGACCCCTTCAAGTCTACTTATGCTGGCATGTATATATGTAAGTGTTATATGTCTTAGTATATGTTATCATGTTAAAGTTTTGGTTGACATGTTTTGATACGTTTAGGTGTAAGTAATTTTAAGTATTTGTATTAAATTTGTCAAGTTTGTATAACTTTCGACTTCATTTGTATGCTTATAAACATTGATTGATAGATGATAGAATGCATATTTAGTGAAAGTTTAGAAGACAAATAATTGGAATGATAACTACATTTAGAGATTTCCAAAAATGATCTACAATTGTAAGTTTGAATGCTTTTTATTTTGTAAATTGATCAATTCGATGTATATCTTGTTTGTGGCTTACTTGTTGAGGATTTAATTCATGTTGAATGTATATTCGATTTAAGTTGGTACATTTGAGTTGCTTGTTGTTTAAGGTAACTTTTAAGGGTTCCTTATGGCTCAAGAAAGCTAAAATTTCAATACATGATCGATGGTACTAAGTTTCAAAACTCAGATGAAGGGTTTTGAAACTTCTAAACCATTATGTTTAAGAGTTTTGAAATTTTCTCAAATTTTATAGAGTTTCAAAACTTTACACTAAGTTTCGATACTTAGAAGGAGGGTTTAAAAACATATCAATTTATTTCGAAACTCAGAGACTCAAGTTTGAAAATTTATGAATTTAGTCCCTTTTAATAACTTGTTTTGCAATTTAATTTATAATTTTTTTATATATATCAAATTAGTCCTTAGTTAGATGTTTGACTATTGTTTGAGTGATAAATTATCTCTGTAACATCCCAAATTTCAGGCTAGTAGTTTTGGGTTTACCCAAGAGGTAAGTGGACCTCGTGAAATTCATAAGTAAAGTTGTTGAGCTTAATTGGGGTTGGATTTGGACCCAAATAGCCAAAAAAGGAGATTTTGAATAGTAGAAAGATGAGAAGGACTAAAAGTATAATTTTACCATTGATGGAAATTTAAGTTAAAAATTGGGGTTTTATAGCAAGCTTGGACGTGGATTCTCCAATTTCCTCTCCATCTTATTCTTTTCTCTTCTTCCTTCATTCCCTCTCCAATATCCATAACAATATAAGATTTTGAGCTCTTTTATACTTCATTTTCGTCCTATCAAACCCCCTTAGCAACCTCATTTATGAAGATTCAAGCTTTGAGTTTTATTTTGCAAGAAAAAGATGAGTTTTCATCATCCAAGCCTTGAGGAGAGTGATTGCTACCTAAAGGAGGTTCATTTCGGGTTTCTAAAATCAAGTCATTGTATTTCTAATCCTTTGGAGTATTAAGTTTTCATAAATTTCAAGAAATTGCTAAGATTTTATAGTTGAGCATTTAGGGTTTCACTTTTGATTCATGCCATAAATCACGACTTTATTATGCAGTATGTGTTTTATGACACCTTAAGACCCTAAATAACTACTATACCTTTGGTACATGTTTTAGAATCAAACCATGGCCTTTAGAATGAATTTTGAGTTTTTTTAGCCTAAAATATCTATTTTAGGGTTTAAGTTTTGATACTAAGATGAACAATATCGATACTGGTGAATTGGGGCAAAAATTAGGGTTTTTGGGTTGTAGTATTGATACTATTGATACTGAGGCCCCAATTTCGCAACAAAAATGTATTTTTGGTATCGATACTCATAGGGGTATCAATACTTGACTCTAAGGTATCAATACTACAAGTAGAGTATCAATACTACTCACTTAGGATGGTCAGATTTGACTGTTTAATGTCCGTAAAAGCTAAGGACGATTCGTAATAGTGAGACGTAGTTTGTGAGAGACATAAATGACCAAGAACACCTAGAAATACTCATAGTAGTGGGTTATATAAAGAGTAACCATATTAAGCGTAGTACGTCGAAATATCTTCAACCGAGGATGTATATGGATATTTGGGACTGAGGATCGTTATAGGAGACATCCAATAAAGCGGTGTGATATTTATGTCAGATTCAGTGGCATCGAAAAGCTTGAGCTTTGAGAATGTTAGTGAACCCGGGAAGAGTAAGCCACCCTTTTCAGTTTAAGAGGTTCTGAAGGGAAGTACGATTAGATCGAATAGAGTACCACTACTCAAAATTGAACCAGAGCTAGATATTGGGCTAGCTAGTTCCACAATTAATAAGTACGCCTTCGCATTACATTCTAGGTGAGAGAATGAGCGAAATAACAATTGGTATGACATTGAGTTCACTTTAGTGAGTCCAACTATATTAAGGTATACCCAGGTTACCTTAGTTGCCCTATTGAGACATTACCAGTGCGCGAGGTACTTCAAGATCTAATTAGGGATTGATTCTCGAACACTCGCAAGGAGTAGGTTAGCGATATCAGTGTTATATGGTTGGTAGGCCTTATATATGTATGGGTAGTTACACCAGTTTAGTTTGGTTGGGTAAGCTTCTGATGCACGTAAATTTCAGTTATTGCCCCGAGACTTTTAAGTATGCAAGGTAGGCTAGTGTGTTGTCCTGAGTGTTAGAGTATGCCCAAAGACCAATATATGATGATTGTAATAATACATTTATTTACCAATTTTATTGATTAAAGGCATTGCTAATATTATTTTCAGTTATATGTCTGTGTTTAACATAAACTGAAAGATAATAAAGTCTATATAATAATATAATAATTATTATTAAAAGATTCCTAGTCAAGTATTATTATGGGTATAGACAATAATAATACGCTTAAGACTAACATGTTATTGATTGATGACAACGAGTTGTCATTGATGTAGAGATGTCAGAATTGATACATAATTACATTATTAGAGAACAATGTATTGGATTGACCCACCATGAGCATATGTCTTGGATTATTATGTGACAGTCATAACATTGCTCATGGTGATAACTATATGTATGATCCTCAGACTTGAGATCAATGTTATCCCAACATTTATTGTTGTATGTTTTGATGCAGTTAAACAAGCTCCATAACTGGTTCCTCTATAAAGATTGTTATTGAATATATCTCAATATATGTAGTGGGTGTGTATGATTAAGATAGGATTTATCCTTCCTACATAATAGGAAATATATCACAAGCCACTTGATTGAGTGAGACTAGAAACACATGGTCATACTCGAATACGTTGATATGAGATATCACAAACTATTCGTTAATTAAAGTCTACTCTAGATATCAAGAAACAATAAATGGGTTATACAAGTGTGACTATTCCAAGACTTGTGTCTATTCTAGATATAAAGGACATAAGGATGTAATATATAAAAGAGTTAATCACCAAGATGATATGTTGAATCATATTTTCTTGTAACTTAGGTGACAATGATATATTTCTAGATGTCACTCATTGTATGTAATTTTAGAATTGTTCTAATAATTACTGCTAACGTTACAAGAACCTACAGGGTCACACCCTAGGATTGAAATGAGCAAAGATGTACAATTTGTTGTACGTTACTAAAATATATATAAATTTAATATATGTATATTTGATGTACATATGAATTTAATTATCCCGAATATATTAAGTAAGCATTAAAAGAATGTAATTTAGATTACAACTCTTTTAATTGATATATATAATTCAGAATAATTAAATAAGTTTTTTTAAATAAACATTAAAGATTGTAATTCTGATTATAAGTCTTTAATGTATATTTAAGTTGAATTAATTAAATAATATTTTATTTATTAATTCGAAACAACTTTAAAAAAACCCCAAGATGTTAGGGTAATGGATATAAAAGGGATATGTTAGGTCTAGCAGCCTTTTTACAACACACATAATCTTCAGCCGTTTTTCTCAAAACAGTTTTGGGGAAAACAAATATTGCTCTCAATCGGGTGAACTGAGTAAAGGCCGAGACATGATTTCGTAGAGGCTTACGATTCAAACTGGTCGACAATACCATCAGTCGTTGCTATCGTTGCTATTTTTAAGGAACCTGCTGTAAGTATTCGCATCCCCACCTCCCGATTTCGGTTTTACGTACTTGGATCGCTGGTGAGACCGTCGAGTTTTGTTTCCGCTGTGCCGTAGGGTGCGCGGACGGTCCCAACACTGAGATGCACGTGAAATTCCTCTAACCACACCACTAGACCTACCTCATGTTTGTGTCAATCATGCATGTATAGTCTCATCAGTTCAGTACGTCAAATATGTAAAAGCTTGGCTTGAAGGCTATGTGAGACCGAGCAATGCTTTAGTTTGTGCAGGAATTGTAACAATGTCATATGAAACCGGGTTCCTCTCAGTGATCTACCTGATGGTTATGTGAGGAAAAAGAGATCATTCAGTATGTTTTGTTGGAATTATGTCGATGCTATTGTAAGACCCCATCCCCGATCTAAGAGTCCGACCCGGGTACCTGAGCATACATTCAGTTCCAATCATGTTGGACAAAACAAAATCCTAAATCATGTGAATTATGTGCAAACTTACAAATTAAAATCATATCAACATGTGATATGTGGCAACGAAACATATTAGATAACATGAAATCACGCATCAAAAGAAATAAAACATAAATATCGCAATAAATAGTCAAAGGTAAAATGATCATTTTAATAC